CATAGTTTAATAGGTATATACATGTATGATTTTATTTTCACTTTCAAACTAAACTATCGAAAAAACAGTTAAAATATTTAGCTTTGAAAGTGAAATATTTAGCATTGAAAGTGAAAATGATTAATAGTTGGTATATAGAGAGATGAACATCTTTATTCATTAGCAATTAGTTTATGATTAAACATTTCATAATCTCACATATAATCATAATCTAGCAAATTCAAATGGATATAAGCTATCTAAAGTGAAGTGAAATGCTGTTCAAAATAATGAACCAAATACACTATGAGAATAGTATATTAGAATATTACGTTTTAAAAGTAAAAATTATTTAATATTAGCGTATGAAAAATAAGTATTTCCATCATTACTAAAGTAATTAGTTTTTTTTTTTAGTTGGAATTTTATAATTGACAAACATTGTTTAACCTTTAAAAGGCAGACACAATTTAAACATGATCCATATAAAAAAGTAACGAATATATCTTAAATGTTAGTTAAGAATTTATCCCAAATTTGTTTTGTGGTATTAGATTCGATTTTTCTTTGTTCTTAGTTTTGGTCTATTATAAATTTAAAACAAAACAACAGTAATTGAGATCAGATAATACAACAGTAATTTTGAGGTAAAACAAAAGTATTTTTCTCAAGTTGACAAAAAGAAAAATAAGAGCGTTTGAATACTGTTTTCATTAAGAATTCAACACGTTAAAACTGCACTAACACAGCATGAAATCATGAAATAAAATTAAAAAACAAATGTCAATTAGTGGAAACTGTCGTAGGCACCTTCGTCACCCCACGATCGCTTCCGTCATTAGTGTCCAGCCATATCCAACGGTCACTATTTTTCCTGATTTATAAATTAATCAAATAAAAGTAAATATCAATCAAATTTATATATATTACCCCAAATCAAAACCGAGTGATAGTCATTAGTCAACACAACAAAACCAAAACGCAACACGGCACTTGCTATTATCTTTATTTCTTTCCCAGTGAGAAATA